TATGACCATTCCATACTCTCGGATTAGGGACAATTGACTAAGTCTAATCCCTGCTCTCGGATCAGTGACAAGTTTTAAAGTTCTACCCTCCGTGTATATCTCACTCGTACTCATAAGGAGATACTAGCCAATATTCCTCTTAATTAACTTAAGTTTACTCTGTATCATCATATAATTACCAGATATGCTCTTAACACATATTTCAAGCAATATCAAATATTTCACACACAAACATATATTTAATACTTTAATCAATATTTGCATTAAAATCATGTTCATGAAAGGGACTATGCACTCACCTTAGTAGCGTGATTTGATAAAATTTAACTAGAAACGATCAGCGGTTCATGATTTTCGGGCTCTGGACAAGGAACGCCTTCAGCAAACGAGAGAGAAAGAGAGAGAGAGAGAGAGAGAGAGAGAGAGAGAGAGAGAGAGAGAATTTGGTGTAAGAATGGTTAGTGTCGAGCTTGCTATTTATAGACTGTTTTGGGCTCTCTTACGTCGTGAGAATCAATACTCACGTCGTGAGGCCTGACTGCATCATCTCGCAGACTTGCCATTTGCGTTTCTAGCTTCGAAAGGTGTCCGTATGACTTCTCACGTCGTGAGAATTAATGCTCACGTCGTGAGCCCTGACAGATTAGGGTTTTTGCCACGTGTCATGCTCTCAGACAGCTACATCTTCGGAAGGTCATAACTTTTGCATACGAGCTCCATTTTTGACGTTCTTTATATCCACGCGTAGGTGGAGACGTACTCTACAACTTTTGTTCAGATCACTAAAGATAAAAAGTACTTTATCGTAAACTCACTTTTTACGATTCTCGGTGTCGTGCCGGTTTTGTCGCGAAACTTCGACATGTCATAACTTCTTCGTTATAACTCGGATTTTAGCGTTCTTTATATGTACGGAACCCTTGTGACATATACTATAATTTAGTTAAGATTATTTATTCTAAATAATATTCCGTGAAAAATTCATTTTTTGATGTTTATTGTCTCTAAATTGGCTAGCCCGAATCTGCGGGAGTTACATAAAACTCATAGATTTTGAGTTTATAAAACTTGTAAGGTTGTGTGGTAGTAGTTATCAAGTATTATCTTACTTAATTTATGAACCGACACTTAAACATTGGGGCAAACTCCTCCCACATAAACATTGTGTTTTCGTACAAAAACAAAGGGGTTTATATAAATAATTTGTTTTATGTAAGTTAATAAACCCCGTTCAGTCGTGTCATGATATTGATTAAGTGTTATATGACTTAATTTATGGTATTGACACTTATCGTTTTGAGTCACAAACTATCCCACTAAATACAGTCTCTTTCAACTAGAATAAGTGAACAAATACCCCGTATAAACCCAATATTGATTCTATACGGTAACGAAACAATTCTGGGATCTATAATGAGCTCACAACCGAACTACGACACCTCTACACCAACACTAAAATGGGGCGTGATAAAAGTTACACATCACCCACATGGGCGTGCTAAAAGTTACACATCACCAGCATAGGCGTGATTAAAGCTCCACATCAACGCTTTATCAACGTCTAGAAGTAAATAAAATATGAACGTCAACGCCAAACTCGTCTCATCAGGCGATGGTGTAGCTAACACATGTGGGAGGGATGTCAACCTGTATAGACCAGTGTTGTCGATCTATACCTGACGTTTCGCGTTCCATACGAGTTAACAGTTATAATGCAGAGGACGTGGACCAATACATACAGTCTTAGTGTGGTTATAAACATAGCCAATGCAGCTTAGGAAATGATCCTAACTCATAAAGCTTTTAGGAAACAAACATAATTATGTATTTTTCAAACGTCGTTTATCAACCGTTTAAGGT